GTACAGTGGCGCCATCAGGTCCCACCGCAGCCCCGACTTCCCAGGTGCAAGCAATCCTCCCAGCTCTGCCTACTGAGTGGCTGGGATCACAGGCACGCACCACCTTGCCCGGGCTAATTTTTGTATATATGTGTATTTTTGTAGAGATGGGGTCTCGTTGCCCAGGCTGGTCTCAAACTCCTGGGATCAAGCGATCTGCCCGCCTTGGCCTCCCAAAGTGCAAGGTTTACAGGCGGTAGCCACCGCGCCCAGCCCAATGATAATAAATATTACCACTCTTTTTTAATTTTATACGGCACTGGCCACGTACCAGGCATTGTTCTAAGTATTTCACATTTATTAAGAAATTTAATCACAGCAAGCCCACGGAGGTGGGAAGCATTACCACCCGCCAATTACAGGCCAGGAAACCTCGGCCCAGGGAGGCTGCGTCACAGAACTTAAGTCTCCTGTCACCAGGGTGCAAACAACCACGGACCAGCAGCCAGGCGCCAGGTGCCCTGGGCTCGGCTTGGCCCGAGCGTTCGGCTGCCCCATCTACGGAACACCGAGGCGGGCTGACCCAGGGGGTTTCTCCGACCACCTTCCGCTCAGGTTCTGAGAGTCTGTGCGGGTCCATTTAGGGCTGGGTCGAGAAGGGAGCCCAGGCGGACACGTCCTGAGACCCGGGTCTGGGAGGCCTGGCCGCGGGCTGTCCGGCGCTGGGCTCCCTCCGGCCAGTCGCCTCCTAGACGCCAAGCCCCAGGCTCCGCGGTCCTCCGAGAAGGGACTTCTAGCCCTTCTCAGGTGTCCCTGTCCGGAGAGCCCGGTGAGCAAGGAAGGAGCGGGCCAGAGCCCAGGAGGCGGGACCCAGTAGAGCGGCCCAGCCACAGCCAACAACGCAGTCCCTTTAACCCCTAAAACTTTCTCCCTCGATTCAGGACCCCCAGCAGACGCACATTGGCTGCGCCGTGGACATCCGGACCCGTCCTCTGTCCCCACCTACAGGCTGTCGTATACATCGATCACAAGCCGAGGCTTCCTAATGGCCCACGTTCTTGTCAATCAATGGAGGGCGGAACGCTGGGCAGGGCCAGGTAGGAGAGCGACACGCCAGCCTCGTTGCCCTCCCTGCCTCCGTGACTAGGCACCGGGAGGCACCCAGGGGACCGAAGCTGGGTGCGGAGCACCGGGGCGGACCTGTGGGGGGCTCCAGGGACTCACCGATGCGCTGTCCCACTGGAGAGCTGAACGGGTTCCCCAGGAGAAAGTCCATCGCTGCTACCGCCGCTGCCACCAACCCCGGGAATCAGCTGACAGCAACCGACAGCGCCGCCGACCCGTCACGTGACGCGCCCGACGACCGGCGAATTGGCGTGGGCGGGGCGGCGGCACCGCGGAGCTCGACCACAGGCCCCGCCCTGACGCGCGAGAGTCCCGCCCCCGAGGCGGAGGGCGACGACCTCGCTGCGGCTTTCTTGGCGGCGGCGGGCGACAAGCACTACGTAGGGCCTGCGGGCGGGACCCGGGAAGCGCGGGCCTCGTTAAGCCACGCCCCCGACTTTTAAAAAGGGGTTTAGGGGCGTGGTCTAAAGGACCCTTTACGTATCTGGGAAACTGGGTCGTAGACCAGGGAAGTGACTTGGGTGAGGTTACACAGAAGCTGAGACTCTTTGTGTCTTAGTCCTAGTCTTTGGGACCTCACTGTGACTGCACACCTACCTTCCCTCGGTGACAGCCTCTCTGGGCTGTCTCCTTGTCTCGATAGGACTCTTCCTTTTTGATGTCAAGGCCGCCTTGCTCCAATATGCACCCTGCTTGCAGCCCAAATTATCTTACCTTAAATCAGAAGCAAGGGCAAGGGCTTGGGTTTTGTCATCTCTTGAGACTGAGAGGCAATTTAATGAATTGCATCGCAATTCCCGCTAGCGCCCAGGATGGCAGAAAGCACAGAGATGTAGTCACGAGTGGAGCTCTGATAACCTGTCGATGTCATAAATTATCTGTGTGAGCCAAACACAGCTCCCATTTTCTTTAGATACTGGAATTAGATCAAGGACTCGTAACCATTTTTTAAACATATTTTATTTAGGTCACAGCCTCCTTTGAGAATTTCACAAAAGCCATGAGGCTTTCTGAAGAAAAAAGGCAGCGATACAATTTTGCTTATAACCTCAGGGAGTTTCTGGGGCCCCTGAAGTACAACCGTGGACCCCAAGCTAATAATCAGAGGCCTTTCCCAGCATTGAGATTCTAATCTTTTCAGCCTTCCTGGCTGTGTGCGGTGTGTCTGCTGACACCTACACACTAGCTAACTAACTATGAGGTTATGACCTTTTCTTCTGGCATGTACTCCAAAAATACAATAACCATGGCCTTAGTAGTCTGGCTACTGTGGGTGCCTTAGTATTTATTGTAATGTTTGTGGTTTTTAAATCTGAAAGGCAAGTAAACTGCACAAATTTTGGATAGAAAACCTAAATTAAGCCAGGCGTGGTGGCTCACGCCTGTAATCCCAGCACTTTGGGAGGCTGAGGTGGGCGGATCACCTGAGGTCAGGCATTCAAAACCAGCCTGACCAACATGTTGAAATGCCGTTTCTACTAAAATACAAAAATTAGCTGAGTGTGGTGGTGAACCCCTGTAGTCCCAGCTACTCAGGAGGCTGAGGCATGAGAATTGCTTGTACCCAGGGGGCAGAGGTTGCAGTGAGCTGAGATCATGCCACTGCACTACAGCCTGGGTGACAGAGTGAGACTCGTCTCAAAAAAACAAAAACAAAATCTAAATTAGAACTTAATCACTTCCGTAGATTCACTTGTCTGAACAGCCATGGGGCCTGATGGTCTTTACTGTACAATGTAAGAACTGCTTTGAAGTGTTTCCACAACACTCATGAGACCTGTTCAAATACCCTTGCCCCCATGAGTCTGGATCTCCATAAGGGCTGGGCTACTATTTCTGTTTTGCTCACCACTATTGTCTAACCCGCTGACTAGCATATGAAAGCTTAAATAAATCTACCTTTCAGTAATGGTATTTCATTTAAGATGACCTTCATGTCAGGTACTTTCTGTGTCTTTCTTCACTTAACCTTATTGCTTGGTCATATGGAGTATGTTTAGCATGAACTTCTTTCGAATTCTTCCATTAACCTTTATTTATTTTTAGAGGCAAAGTCTCACTATGTTGCCCAGGCTGGTCTTGAATTCCTGAGCACAAGTGATCCTCCCACCTCAGCCTCCCAAAGCCCTGGGTTACAGGCATGAGCCACCATGCCTGACCCTTCCTTTAAGCTTTTAACAGGTTCTTGTAAGCTTTATTCTTCATGGTTAAAAAAAAAAAAAAAAAAAAGAAAAAATCAGAAACAACTCATATACCTCCAAAAGGAAGTAGAATCATAAACTCCATGCAAACTGATTACTATATAGCTATTCAAACAGAAATGGAAGTATATAGATTTATTTATAGACAGTCTCTCCATGTCACCCAGGCTGGAGTACAGTGGTACAATTGTAGCTCACTGTAGCCCCGATCTCCTGGGCTCAAATGTCCTCACACTTCAGCCTCTTAAGTAGGTGGGAATACAGATGCATACCACCATGCCTGGCTATTTTTAGTTTTTGTAGAGATGGAGTTTTGCTATATTCCCCAGGTTGGTCTCGAACTCCTGGCCACAAGTGATCCTCCTGCCTTAGTCTCCCGAAGTGCTGTGATTACGGACATGAGCCACTGCACCCAGCCAGTATATGGATTTTATCAACACAGTAGATAGGGATGTAAATGGCAAACATTAAGTTAGTATAAAACTGTCTTATAAAAGTATGCTAATAAGGAGCAAACTCATTTAATAAACGGTGTTTCAATTTACTTTTTCAAGTGTTTTAGTAATATTAATATCATGCTTTACTGAGGGTTAAAATGTTCAAATTTCTTAAGACTGACAGTCTGCATAAATGTAAGCTATTATATCCTTTAAGCTCTTACAAAAATCAAGATACGTTGCCTTCAAAATTTAAAGACAATAGTATAAGAGTGAAAACCAGCTAGATATCTGAACAATGCAGAGATCTCAGATGGCTTTCCTACAATCACATCTGCTCAGGACTTGAGATAATGGAGATACTGCAAAGCATTCTGATGAATTATATACATGATTTAAATCTGAAAGTAGCTTGGGTTAGAAAGAGCCTAGGGTTTGGGGTTAGCTATTCCAGTGTTCTTATTCTGCCCCTGCCATTTATTAGCAGTATAAACTTAGGAAAAGTACTTTTTTGCATCTATAAAGGGAGATAATATTCATGTCTTTGGGGGAGGATGAGTGAGACAAAGTATGTAAATCACTCTCACTAATAGCCACTCCGTGATATCGTGGTTTCTTCCTTGCTGCCCTTCATAAGACATTCACCTTTTAATTAATTATACTAATTCACTATTTATGACTTTTAACACCATGTGTTTGCATTGAAATTTTTACCTTGAAAGACTGAATCTCCAATATTCAATATTCATAATATTATTAAATATTTCTGACAGGCTGGCTGCCTGCAGGTCTAGGGACCGGGAAGTAACATTATTTTACAGATGGGACTTTGGAAGCCTATAAAGATTAAGGGATTTATCAACAGCATTACTAAGCCAAGACAGTACTGAAACATATCATTTAGCACATAATTCAGATGCAACCCTTATATAAGATTAATGAACATTTTCTTGATTTAGGCCAACACCATAATGTATATAGTTTTGTTTGCCAACAAATGGAGGGACAGTTATCAGATTCGCTAAATTTACAATTTGCGAAAGGGAAAATGAGAGCCTCTACAATGTAAAAACTAACAGAAGCAGAGTAAAGCGCATGTTAGGAAAATGGCTAAGATTAGAAATTTAATCTCCATTGTAGGTTGCTTTTTTTCTTAAGAAAATTATGGTAGAATAGAGTGAAAAACAGGTTTTATAATTTCATAGCGACTATGATTATCACGATTAGGGAAAAGACAGCTGAGACTGGACTACAAATATTAAAAATGTGATTTTTAATAATATAAGTACAAAATTTTATTTCTTTATACAACTGTAATGGGATTTGGATCAAACCACTAGAATTTATTTAAAAAACAAAATAAAACAATGATATAAAAACTGCAAGAAGGTCTGAATCCAAAGTTTTTCCTCTAATAGTACCAAATACCACAAGGTACAGATTATTATACAAATGTGTACAAATTTTAAATACAAATACAGTAGGGCTAGGTTTCAAAGGAAAACAAACAAAAAGCAGGTCCTTGTCAGGATTTCATTAATGTATATAAATGACAATGCTAGGATTAATGTCTTCCTCTACTATCCATATCTTCCCCGCCCCTCCTAGATACCCTGTGTCAAACGGGAAACTTCTACAGATACAGAATAGGCATGGTACAAGGTTCTAACACATGAAATCAAATTAAGACTTCTGTTCCTCTTGATTTTGGTTCCCAAACAATGCTTTTTCTTTCTCTGTATTCCCAATTAAATCTTAAAACTGCTCTGGTGAGAAAGGGATTCAGCAGCCAGGCTACCCTTAAGCAACATAGCCCTGTGACAATACTGGTGGGGCAAAGGGAAGAAATTAAATAGGATGCAGGTGGGCTGCACTGTCCCCAAAGATTTACTTTGATGCTGTAGTGCTCTGTCTAGGCCAGGAGAATAAAGCACAGTTCACTCAGAGCTTGGTGGTGGCAGAGAATCCCACACCAAATTTAAAAACCTCCCTGAAGTGCACAACTGTCTTCTTTCCAACTGGGAAGCAAAAGTCTGGTTCTTTGGAAATAAGGGCAGCTGGGATGGTAATATTCCTCTTTATTATTCCTCTTTATTTTACTTTCTAGACATTATTGAAGGCCATGAAGTTCTTTATAAAGAATTAGAATCCTAACATGATTCATTTTTGAGGTAAAATACCTTAAAATGTAGATGATTCAGAGTTAATTGGAACAGACCAGGAGGAAGGAAGGAGGGAAGGAAGGAAGGAAAGAAGGGAAGGAGAAATAACAAATCTGTACCTTCCACATGCTGTTGCTGGTGGAGGCTTTGTTATTAAATTATATATACAGAAATTTACAGGATAAATTAAAATCTAAGAGATTTTAAAGAGTTAAATACACATAATTAAAATATACATTCATACGCACATAAATAAACCTACGAGAGAGAGTTTTGTTTTGTTTTTGCAATTCACTTATATGTGGAATGCAGAACATTGTGTATCTGCCCACCAGGGGAACCGATAAGATGAACCCAAAAATCATGCTGGGCAAAGTTTATCCATAACCACCAAGCAACTAAGCAGCATGGCTTGTGAGGACTTGGTGGTTAACTTCATGCTGCCAATGAAAGATACCAGCTCTTAGTTTTGCGACCAAATATTCTGGGTTAGCTCAGAATGTATGGAAGTCCAACTGGTGGCACTGACAGCTTCACGAACCCTCCAAGGTGTCTTCTGCTGCCCGGGCTCACAGAACTCCTTGGCCTCTATTGAGGCCACCAATGCTATCAATATTACAATAAATTTTGAGACATGGACACCTATATAGTAGGAATTGGAATGAACCCCCTATTCAAATCACCTAAGCCTTCTCCATAACTATAATGGGAACAATTTTATCACCTCCCACCTAGGTCACTTCAAATGGAAAGGCTTTATATTTTCAGTTAACTGGCATCTTTCCATAATCTTTCTTATTACATTTCAGACTAAGACAGGTAAGGCAAATGGTCAGTGATGGGTCTGGAGGTCCAACTGAGTTTGGAAAATAATCACATTTTAGCTGTCCCTAAAGAGATGCACTTGGCACCCAGAACAAACCCCCAGCCCCCAAGTTACATTGATTTTTAAGGCAGATTTATCCACCACAGGAGAAAAAAGAATCCCAAGCCCGTATTCATGCCAAAATTTCCTCTTGGCTAAACCTTTGCCATTTCATAAAATTATTAAAAGCAAAGTAGTTACAGTCCTATGTATATATTGTACATTATATATATATATATATATATATATGTATATATGTATGTATAGATATAAAAATTTAAAACCTACACCCAGAGGCCAGTGAGGGAATCTGGAACAGTCATTATATACACAAACCAGCAATGGTGTAGGACAAGGTTTCTGTCCCAGGATCCTTTGCTGTCACAGTCCAGGCATGATGTAAGCGATGTTGTCTAGTGTGTTTGACTGCAAAACAAAGAAAAAAGTTCAACTGAAGAGTTCTTTACCTTGGTTTCCTGAGACATGTTCCTTTGTTCAAGGAAAGAGATAAGAAAAATCAAATGGAGTTAGAAAAACAGGTGAGAATGGTGGCATCCTGTTGTTATGCTAGGAATTTTTCTGCTGACTTCTCCTGTTAATCCTAGGCAAAAAGAGGGAGACAATTCCTGTACTGTCTTTGTGTGTGGAACAGCAAACAAGAAACACAGGAGTTGCAGTACCTTAAGGGCTAGAATGCTTCTCTCTTTAAGTGTTATTTTGGTAAATGGCTTGTTTTCTAGTTCAGTGAAAGCGCAGCATGCATTTGGTAATATAGCATCGTGTTCCATGGGCCAACAGATGAAGGAAGCACTATGTGTCACAAAGCCTTATGAGCCTGTCTCTGACAGTGCTCATTAAGGCAGGGCCTCTCTGACTCCCAATGGGTTTGACCCTAAAAATCCAAGGAAAACTCACCAAGACCTGTTTGGGACAGCCATTCAATTCAGGTAGTTGTGTGGTGAGACATGCCAAGGGGCCAAGGGCACAGATAATGGAATCCAGAAGCACTGACAAACTGCCAGACACAGCCACCATACCCTGAAAAGGAGAGGAGGTCGTTGCTTGAGTCACGCTCCTGATGCTCTCTCTGTTCTGGCTGACTTCCTCACAAGTACTTGAAATCCTAGGCAGTTCTAATCCTACAGTTAGAAACTTTACAGCAGAAATGAAAAGATTACTTGGATAACTCTGTAAGTTGTCTAGAAAGAGAGCTTTTACAACACATTCCCAGGTTTCCTTTCTATAATCCTAGCTCATCTTACCTTCTATGGGACCTTGGGGAGGTCACACACTTAACTTCTGTCTCCTTAACAGGAACAGTAAAAAATGCTTTACCTACTCTGGAGAGCTGTTGGTAAGATTTGTGATTACGTATGTGAAGTATATCTGTTATAAACTCCACAAATACAGCTCATATGTGATTACTATGAAAATCCTACAACCCTACGTGTATGTAGCTTTTGATAGGTCATGATAAAATTTTTCTACGTTGAGTTGTTCACTCTCAAAAGAAGTGAATTTAGTTCAAATTTTAACATTTTATGTAATTCACATTGTCTTTATTTGTGATTCAAAGAGATAAGAAAGACTGTTGCTGCCGCCCAGTTCTTGTATAATCTGCTTTAACTAGAAGCACTGGGAGGATATGTCATGTTGGGAAGCAGCACAGCAGAGTCCTTAAGAACATGAGTTCTGGATTCGAGACTGCCTGGGTCCAGATCCTGGCTTCACTACTCAGTGTTTTCTACCTAGGCAAGTTGCTTACTGTGCTGTGCCTGGAAAATACTGACAGCATCTGCAGCAGAAGGGATTGACAAAACAGATACAATATACTTGGGATGGTATCTAATACATGGTTAAGTACTCAAAAAATATCAGTAATTATGACTATTATTACTAACGTCTTTATCTTCAAAGCTGCATTTCTGGCTGTCTTTTGGGTCTCTCCTTTTGGATATTTCTCAATCCCAACATGCTGTAAGGGAGAATAACCTGCCCATCCAAATCTAGCCCTCCTTTTAGCATCCACTTCTCTGCCAAAGTCACCACTATTCACACAACTGCCCAGTCGCAAGGCCTAGCCATCACTGACTCTTCCCTTCCCTCACCCTCCTTGTCAACATCTCCCCTCTATACTTTCTGAGGGCAGCAGTACAGTCAGAGGTTAAGAGCCCGGGCCTCGAGGCCACACTGCAAATTCAAGTCCCTGCTTTATCACTTAGGGGCTGAACTCTTGAGAAAGTGACTTCACCTTTCTAAGTCTGTTTATTCTTCTGCAAAACAGGGGGAACAAAAATTCTGCCTCACAAAGCTGTAGTGTGAATTAAATAATTCATATTAAGCACTCTGAACCAAAGCTGGGTGAGTAAACATTTAATAAAATGTTATATACGGGGAAGATAATAGCTTAAAAAAACCAAAAATGTCAGTAATTAGTAATATTATTCCATTACCTTTGCCCTAATAGTTACTTATAGCTAATTTATCTTTGTCACATCTAGACTAGGATTATTGTTATAACTTCTCCCCAATTCTGGTCACTTTTCACTTCCAATTTAAAATAAAAGATATTCTCAGAGAAAAGTAAAAGAGCTCTGATCACATCCCTTCCTACTCTAAAAACTCCTGTAGTTCCTCTATAGTAAAGTATACATATTTCACAATGTCTATGAAGTACCTCTGCAATTTGGGTTCTAGTCTTAACTTTCTTAAGAGATATATATATATACACATTCTTTTTTTAATTTAATTTTTTATTTTTATTTTTATTTTTTTGAGATAGGGTCTCACTCTGTTGCTCAGGCTGGATGAAGTGCAGTGGTGTGATCTCAGCTCACTGCAACCTCTGCCTCCCGGTTCCAGCAATTCTCTTGCTTCAGCCTCACAAGTAAGTAGCTGGGATCACAGGTATGCGCCACCACAACTGGCTAATTTTTGTATTTTTAGTAGAGATGGGTTTTGTCATGTTGGCCAGGCTGGTTTTGAACTGCTGGCCTCATGTGATCCTCCCACCTTGGCTCCTAAAGAGCTGGGATTACAGGCATGAGCCACAGTGCTGGGCCTCTAGCCTTAATTTTCTAACTCATGCATCATATGTTCCAGTTTTACTGCTAAAATGATGAATGTTAATTTATTGTTGAGCATCTTATTTTGATAATTATATGTCCATTATGATGTACATAAAAAATAGAATATAACCCTTGTGACATCAAGAATGTCACTGTAAAAGCGCAGACAAGTTTATTTAAACAAAACTATAAAGTAAATAATAATTTAAGTGGTATATGGAAATTGTAAAATTGCAGGAATATATGCAAATGATTAAATTCAGGTAAACAGTGGACTAGAGGGGGAATGGGGAATAATTGCTAATGAGTACAGGGTTTCTTTTAAGGGTAATAATATGTTTTCGAATGAGACAGTAGTGATTCACAATTCTGTGAATATACAAAAAAATCACTAAATTCTGCACTTTAAAAGGGTGAACTTTGTGCTTACTAAACTAAATAGAAATATGTGGGAAAATTCGGAATATGCTTAAAACAAACTATTTTTACTTCTAACTTTTTACGAAGTGTAAGAATGATTAAATATAAAAAGCAATCCACAGAATATTTCTTCTGGAAATACCTATACCCATTCAGATACTGAGCCCACGTGAAAGTGCTAAAGTTCATTTGACTCCTGCTGAACTTTCTGAAACTAGCCAAAGAATTTAGATACAGCTTTGGCTGTTGTGGCCTTTGGCATTTTATTTGTTGAGTAATAATTCAATTTCTACATAGAAGCAAGTGATTAGATTTACATTCCTATACTAAATTTCTTAGCTTAAAAATGGCTTTAGTATCTTAGACTGACTTCTTTGATGAAATGTCTTATTAGAACTTGGTAAAAAGCAAAACTACTATACTCTGAGTTAGCTAAGAAGACAATGTAGTTTGAATATGGTAATAGAAACAAAACACGACAGCTGTGTGATTTTAAAATTGAAGCTTAAAAGGACAAACATCTCCTTAGGGCACATAGCATTGTATAATTTAAGTGCAGAGGAATGAAGAGTTGGGAACCTTAACTTCTCCATTTGCTACCTGTTTTCTTAGGTAAATAAGGAACTCTTAATCTCCTATACAACTCAATCTCTTTATTTAAGACATTGCTAGAAACGCACAGAAAAATTCAAAGTCTCTTAGTAGTAGAAGTAATCAAAACTGCTTTGGAATTTGTACTCAAACTTTTTCTTCTTATTATTTTTTTAAGAGATAGGGTCTTGCTCTGTCACCCAGGCTGGAGTGCAGTGTAACAATCACAGCTTACTGTAGCCTTTGAGCTTCTGGGCTCAAGCAATCCTTCTGCCTCAGTCTCCTGAGCAGGTGGGACTACAGGTGTGTACCACCATGCCTGGCTAATATTTTAATTTTTTTTGTAGAAATGGGGTCTTGCTACATTGCCCAGGCTGCTCTCCAACTGCTGGCCTCAAGCGATCCTCCTGCCTTGGTCTCCCAAATTGCTCGGATTACAGACATGGGCCACTGTGCCCAGCCTCCACTGCATTTTTATTTTATTTTATTTTATTTTATTTTTTTGAGATGGAGTCTTGCTCTGTCACCAGGCTGGAGTGCAGTGGCATGATCTCAGCTCACTGCAATGTCAGCCTCCTGGGTTCAAGTGATTCTCCTGCCTCAGCCTCCTGAGTAGCTGGGACTACAGGTGTGCACCACCATGCCCAGCTAATTTTTATATTTTTAGTAGAGACAGGGTTTCACAATGTAGGCCAGGTTTCTTGACCTTGTGATCCACCCATGTTGGCCTCCCAAAGTGCTGGGATTACAGGTATGAGCCACCACACCCGGCCCGCATTTTTATTTCTTTTAAATTTTTTTAGTATATATATATTTTTGAGATAGAGTCTCATTATGTTGACCAGGCTGGTCCCGAGCTCCTGGCCTCAAGCGATTCTCCTAGCTAGGCCTCCCAAAGTGCTAGGATTCACTGCGCCCAGCCTCCATTGCAATTTTAAAAAATAAAAATAAGTTACAGGGTATTCCAACTTCTTTTTGTGCCATTGTTTCAACAGGATATCATTAGTGAAACTTTGAGAGCTAACAGGTAGACTGCAAATCTCTAGATATTTCTGTTACCATTATCTCTTCTTTATCACTGCATCCTGATTATCTGGCATAATTTAGCATAAAGTAGATGATCAATAAATGTATGTAAAATGAGTGAATGAATCCAAATTATATGGGAAACTGTAGTCATGCTGCTGATAGTTGTATTCACCTCAGTTTCCTGCAGACGGTGTCCAATGAGGCTTAGGGACTCTCCCAACAGCTGAAGGTGAGCAGCAACATCAATGGGTTCTGTCTCAGGGGCTTTGGCTGGTGAGGCTGGTAACAGCATGGTGGTGGGTGGGGACTTCTTCTGGGGTGACAGTACTCCTACAGAAGAGGCTGAGAACAGAGCAATGAGGTAGATAGGTAAAACTTGCCTACAGCCTCGAACAACACAAAACTATTCTTCCTGATTTTTCCTTTTTATGAACTATACCAGGCATTAGCAAAACTGTGGCCTGTGGGCTAAATTCAGTCCATGGTCTCTTTTTTTTATGGCCTGTGAGCTAAGATGGTTTAACATTCTTAGAGCGTTATAAAAAACAAAGAATATGTGACAGAGAATGCATACAGCACACAAGGCCTATAATATTTACTCTCTGGACCTTTAAAGAAAATGTTTGCTGACTTCTGATTTACAATTTCTAAATTTGAGCATCTCTTTTTGGTGGCCTGTAACATTCAGTAATAATAGCTGAGAACAAGGTCTGCTTCTAATATTGCAAGCTGTTTTCCCAGTTTCTTAGCAAGGAAGCAAAATTCACAAGCTTTAGAGAAAAGCAGGAAGGGGATGTGGTCACTACCTTTGACTTTCATGGAACCTTCTGAGCTGGATGCTTTCCTTTTCACAGTGGTGGCTTCTGCTTTGTTCTGTTTGTGCTGCAGATACTGAGCTTTCTGCTTCCAAATCTGCAATCACATCAGTGAACACTAAATTAGATTTAAAAGGACAAAAAAGTAAAAGGAAAAGCAGTCATGAAAGAACAAAATGGAGAAAAAAAAAGGCAAGAGCAGGAGACGAGCAGAGAGAGAATTAATGCTAACTTTTAAGATGGGGGTCGCTGAACTGACTTCACAGAGCTGATTACATTAATATCTTAGTAGAGGACTATAAACACTCCTCAGTGCTAATGGTCAATTCTCTGCACTGATTTTTAGATCATTCTAAGTTGAAATGTAAAGTCACAGATTAAACAACTGGCTCAATATAATGTCTATGTGGTTCTTTTAACCTGCTGGTTGGCAATACCAAAACAATAGCACGATAACAGTACACTGAAAACAAACCCTAAGGATAATCTATCTGAGTGAAAAATGGTTGTTCATCTAGATGACATCCTGCTCCTATATGACCTTCATATCACATATCATCCACCTGCAAAGTGTCAATGATTCAGGTACGACTGTTTATCAGTGTCTTACTAGCTTCTTGATAGTAGGGTACATTATTTGGTAATGGTTGATGAGGATGATGACCTTCGACCTGGTTTCCTACTAAGCACATTTTCATGCTTTTTTTTTTTTTTTTTTGGAGATGGAGTCTCACTCTGTCACCCAGGCTGGAGTACAGTAGCATGATCTCGGCTCACTGTAACCTCCGCCTCCTAGGTTCAAGAAATTCTCCTGCCTAAGCCTCCAGAGTAGCTGGGACTACAGGGACACACTACCACGCTCATCTAATCTCTGTATTTTTAGTAGAGATGGGGTTTCACCATATTGGCCAGGCTGGTCTTGAACTCCTGACCTTGTGATCCGCCCGCCTCGGCCTCCCAAAGTGCTGGGATTACAGGTGTGAGCCACTGCGCCCGGCTCTCATGCTTTTATTGTTTGCAGTGATTACTAAGTGGGTAACTTTCCTCAGTTTTCAGACTATGGCTGATTACTAGGTATTTGCAGTAAAGGGCTCTGATTTTAGACTTTCTTTTAACACTTTAATTACTCCCCAACTAAGATCATCTTTTGGCTCAAATGTAACACTGATGGAAAAAATTAGACCAGGTTAGAAAAGACAGCCTTGCTATAGCTAAATCCTCATGTACAGTGAATTGACACTAACAGTGTTAATGTCCTCTGCTAAACCATTTTCTATTGATTTGTAATTTTCTTCACTATTTTCAGTGCTGTCTGGTTGGTCTATGGAAGAATTACATATTTTGGAAGGCAAACAGCAATGAAAAATATGTTTGTAAAGTGTACTTACCAGTTTGTCTTTTTCTGGCAATTGCTTCCATACCTCAGCCAGTTTTTTACTAAGTTCCCCAAAATCTGGCATAAAAGAGTAAAACAATACAGTAAAGCATTGGCTATTAACAAAACGGAAGATTGATGAGAGTGAAAACTGGAAAAGGGTTTTGAATGTCAGATTAAATGTCGCAAGATTCTTTCAGAAAACCAGCTCCAACCCCATCACTTTTCTTCTGATTTTTTTTCTATAGAGAAGGGGATGTTCTGATGGTCACAAGATAGTCTCAACTCCTAACACAGCTACGCCCTTGGGATTATTCCTTAAGCATCTTTCTGGTGTCTTTTTTTGAGACTGAGTCTGGCTCTGTTGCTCAGGTTGGAGTGCGGTGGTGTGAACATGGCTCATAGCAGCCTCAACCATCTGGGCTCAAATGACCCTGTCACCTCTGCCTCCCAAGTAGGTGGGACCACAAGCATGGGCTACCACACCCAGCTAATTTTTAAAAATTATTATTTGTAGAGATGAAGTCTTACTATGTTGCCCAAGATGATCTCAAACTCCTGGGCTCCAGCAATTCTCCTGCTGCGGCCTCCCAAAGTGCTGAGGTTACAGGCATGAGGCACTGCAACTCTGCCTCTAGTAACTTTAATTTGATCCCACAATACAAGGCCTATCAACTTAGGTTAAAAATTATGTGTAGAATTTGATAAAAGATGTTAGGTTTTTACCAAATTTCTGAGCAATTAGAACCAAAAGTAGTAGCTCAGAAGCAATCCTCTAGATGTGTAATCTTACCCTTCTACTGTATAACAGTTTCATGCTTTATAAAGCATATTCATGTGTGCCTCATTGCAACCTTTTAGAGTGAGTAGGGCGGCGATTTGACACATTAGGCCAATGAAATCTGTAGAGGTTAAGTGACACTTGTCCAAGGTCTCTGGGTATGGTGTTTTTCTCACCTCACTAACTTCTAATACAGAGACAAATACGGATGGTCCCTGACTTATGACGGTTTGACTTTTGATTTTTCAACTTTATGAGGATGCAAAAGCAATATGCACTCAGTAAAAACTGTACTTCTAGTACCCACATAACCATTGTATTTTTCGCTTTCAGTACAGTATTCAATACTTTACACAAGATATTCAATACTATTATAAAACAGGCTTTGTGTTCAATGCCTTTGCCGAAGTGTAGGCTAATGTAAGTGTCTTGAGCACATTTAAGGTGGGCTCAGCTAAGCTATGATTCTGTAGGCTAGGTGTATTCAATGCTTTTTTTTTTTTTTTTTTTTTTTGAGACAGACTTGCTCTCTAAGGCTGGAGTGCAGTGGTGCGATCTCGGCTCACTGTGACCTCTGTCTTCTGGGTTCAAGTGATTCTCTTAGCTCAGCCTCCTGAGTAGCTGGGCCTACAGGTGTGCACCACTACGGCCAGCTAATTTTTGTATTTTTACTTTTATTAAAAAAAATTTTTTTTTTTTTTTTTTGAGATGGAGTCTTGCTCTGTCGCCCAGGCTGGGGTGCAGTTGTGTGATCTCAGCTCTGCCTTTTGGGACAAGAGATTCTCCTGCCTCTGCCTCCCGAGTAGCTGGGATTATAGGTGTGCACCACCATGCCTGGCTATTTTTGTATTTTTAATAGAGATGGGGTTTCACCATGTTGGTCAGGCTGGTCTCCAACTCCTGACCTCGTGATCCACCCACCTCGGCCTCCCAAAGTGCTGGGATCACAGGCATGAGACACCGCACCTGGCCTATTTTTTAACTTTTTTTTTTTTGAGATGGAGTCTTGTTCTATTTCCCAGGCTGGAGTGCGGTGGCACAATCTTGGCTCACTGCAACCTCTGCCTCCCAGGTTCAAGCAATTCTCCTGCCACAGCCTCCTGAGTAGCTGGGATTACAGGCATGTGCCACCACACCTGGCTAATTTTGTATTTTTAGTAGAGATGGGGGTTCTCCATGTTGGTCAGGCTGGTCTTGAACTCCTGACCTTGTGATCTGCCCACCTTGGCCTCCCAAAGTACTGGGATTACAGGTGTGAGCCACCATGCCCAGCTAATTTTTGTATTTTTAATAGAGACGGGGTTTCACCATGTTAGCTGGGATAGTCTTGAACTCCTGATCTCGTGATCCACCCACCTCAGCCTCCCAAAGTGCTGGGATTACAGGCCCGGCCTTAAATGCAATTTTGACTTACAATATTTTCAACTTTCAAATGGGTTTAGCAGCATGTAACACTATCGTAAGTTGAAGAGCATCTTTACGACATTATAATAAAAGATATCTCATTAAAACTTTATATCCAAGGACAGTTCAAGGAAAAGGCCAATTATAGAATATTGGAAATAAACAACTGTATATGTGCATTTATGTGTGTGCTTTATAACATTTATTTTTACATAGTTTGCCACCTTATTAGATTAAGAGATATGTATAGAAAGTTCATCTCTCTTACAGATGAGGTAAACTAAAGGCAAAATCTAAAGTGATTTGCAGAACTGAGGAAAGAAACAAGATTTACGCTCTAATGCTACAGGAAGAAGAAATTGCACTGCTTCAAGATATAAATGGAAAGCAAAAGTGCTAAAGATCAAAAATGCTCTTACCTATACCTGGATGGTCAGCCACAATGGTCACGCGATACTCTTTACAGAACACCTGGTAGGCCGACATGTTCTTCTTTTTTGGCTAGTACCACATAGAAGATACAACAGGGTAAGACTTGATTAGAACCCACGTTTAGTAATGCTAAATCCATAGTAATAAAATAGAAAGATACCTAAATTTTTTAATCAAGGGAAGAGTTCGAGACTACTAACCAACTTTCCTAAACAGGATAATATATATACATATATATATATATGCACATATATATATATATATATATTTTTTTTTTTTTTTTTGAGACAGAATCTTGCTCTGTTGCCCAGGCTGGAGCGCAGTGGTGCAGTCTCAGCTCAGTGTAACCTCCGTCTCCTGAGTTCAAGCGATTCTCCTGCCTCAGCCTCTTGAGTAGCTAAGATTACAGGTGACTGCCGCCATGCCTGGCTAATTTTTATATTTTTAGTAGAGATAGGGTTTTACCATGTTGGCCAGGCTGGTCTTGAACTCTTGACCACAGGTGGATTCACCCACCTCGGCCTCCCGAAGTACTGGGATTATAGGAGTGAGTCACTGCGCCTGGGCAGGATAATAAATTTTTAATCCACGTTACTTATCACTCAGGGATGAACATCAGTTTTAATTTAGTAGGTAAAAGCCACATGCTATATTATTTGCAAAGACTTTCCTTCTCCCTATATACAATACCATGTTACATGTTTCTTTCAGAATTAAGTGCTAAGGAAATCTTTACCACTCCTGTGGTGTCTATTTTTCTCATCTTTGAAAATCAGAACCACAAAATTTCCTTTTAAACTTTGGAGCCAGAAACCCAAGAGCCAAATCTGTGTTCTTTTTGTTTCTCTGGTTTTGATTTCTAATCTTGTAATTTCTCTTATCTTGCTTTTACTGTCATTTGTAGCTTTTCATGATTGGATTATTTATATTCTTTGGTTCAAGGTGAGAAGTTAACAAATAATTGAAGACAATTTTTTGCTAGTCCTTGTCAGATGCAACTCCTTCACTTCAACAAACTGCTCTGAGGCATGTTTGTTCTTCACTACATTCTGACAATGCCAAAAGGAATATATGATTTTTGAGAAACAAAATCAGATTATTTTTAAAGTCAGTTCAACAAGAGACATATAAAACAGATTATATTTCTATGTACTCCATTTTATAATTATACATGGGCTTAGGGGAAAAAGTTAATTTTCCTATCTATAAAGGGGCATGCAATTAGATTCATTTGTCCAAATTTCTCATTGTAAGGATGGGAAATAAATTTAGAGAAATTGTAGCTTGCTGAGGGTATCACCACTAAGTTGGCAATACCAAACCCTGGCAGTTATAACTACAACTCAGGTAGCCCTGACTTTCAGGGCCATGCATTATGGGACCAAGAAAGAATATGTGTTGCTCCCTTACAGAAAAAATTACTATTTAAAATAAAGAAAGGGTTATCACTTAATAATCTCAATCTAAGAACAAATATTTTCAGTATGGCTTTCCTCAAAAACTCATCTGGAAGCATCGAAATAGGATTCTCAGTCTTTTATCTACTCCTAGTCCTTTCTGGCCCTACAGTTATTAAAATGACACAAATGTTTGGTGCTTTAAAAGCCCTTGGGGGCTTCTGTTTGCCTTAAGAGTCAGGTTTTGTGACAGAAAACAAACCAGCCACACAGTCCTGCCTCATAACTAGTGTTGTATCTTGCTTTAAACCAAGCTTGATCATGCACTCTGCTTAGCTACCTTAGTTCTTCATGTTGTTTTCACAAAATAACAACCCTCAAAGGACAAAGACTGGCTGAACTGATGGCAATAAAAAGCTTATATGACGACTCTAATTCCAAAAGCAATTCTGAAATCATTTGATGAAAAGAAACATTCCTAGAACACCTTCCAAGGTAACTGCTTTGAATGAGATAGCACTTATTTAAGATAAAATTTGTGGCATGTTTGTTAAATTTCATACTAATCTTTTAATAATGGCTTATCTATATGCCTGACATTTACTAGAATACATGATGAAAGAATAATCTGTGGAAATCTATACACTGCCAAATCTTTCCCAACTGTAGAATCAATCTCACTACTAAATACTGAGAAATCAGAAAGTACATATGTTTGAGAGATTTCATAGCTTGTGTTTGGCCACATTATAAAACTTGCAAGGAGGGCGTTTAATGATGTTTTCGCAAACACAATATAATAATGTAAAAGGTTAATGTTCCTATTCTGTAAGGCTATCCATAGCTGTCACACTAACCGCAATTCTTGGCCAATATACTATCGATCCAAATTCACATACTGAAGAAAAGGGTTTGCTTCATAACTCTTATAAAGGACTTTATTCAATTATGTAGGAAGTAGATCAGCATTTATTCGGTACCTGTGCTGGGTGGTGGTATAGTAACTAGTTAGGAGGGTAAGCTTTTGAAGCCCAGATCTAATTCTAAGGCAGTTAAGCTGCATAAAATAGTGGAAAACACATGAAATTTAAAGTTTAAATACCCACAATCTTGTCTCAGCTTCACCATATACTAATTATTTGATCCTGAATAAAACATATGGGAAGTAGACAGCTTTTCTGATACGTGATATTAGAAGTATTTCAATGGCAACAAAGGAAAAGCAGAGACTAGGATTTCAAAGGTAATAGAAAAAAGGTAACCCATTAAAGTATTCTACTATTCATTTATTAATACATATTTACTGAGTATCCATATGTGCCAGACACTGGGAATATAGATAAGGATCAGACACAGGATCTAACAAATGAGGCAGTTAGATATGTCATTCTAATAAAATACAGTGCTGTTATAGGGAAAGCACTGGGTGCTATGGGAACACGTAGAAGGAGTACCTTACCAAATTAGGGAGTCAAAGAAAGCCTTCTGGAAGAAGTGACATTTAATCTAAACCTGAGAGTTGGGTAGAAATAGGCAGAGTAAGCGTGGTTAAGAGTGTTCTAGGCGGAGGAAACAACACGGGGGCACATTCATCAAAGAAGAAGAGGTAACAGATGATGTTAGAGAAGAGGCAGAGCCCATACACTAAGGCCATGTAACCCATAAGAGAGCATATGGATTCTGTATGGAAGAGGCCATTCAAGCATTTTAAGCAGGAAGTTAAACACTCAGGGTTACACTTAAGGACTTTGGAGAACAAACCAAAGAAGAACAAAAGCAGAGGAAGGAAGACCAGTCAGGAGGCTGCTGCTGGAGTGTGGGGAAGGAATGATGATGACGGTCTGCAATCAACACAGCGGGCCTGGGAGAAAAGCAAACAACCTGGGGAGGAGGAAGATGTGACAGGACTTATTAGAGACAGTGTGGCAAAATGACTCTGAAGACCAGTGACCAGTCAATCTGTGTTAGTTAGAATCCTGACCATACTATTTGCTAGTTACACAAATTGCTTCATTTTCCTGACATTCCATTTCTCTACAAGTAAAACTTGGATACACCATTTAACTCAAAAGTGGGAATTACTCCACTGGTGTGTGGCACTTCAGTAGGTACTTGATGTTATTTCTGTGGCAGGCAGAATTACAAGATGGCACTCAAGGCCCCTGCTCCGGGGTTTGCATTCCCATATGTGGCGGGGAGACCCCCAAGCGCCGAGGCAAGGGTCTGAAGCCTCAGCCTGTTCCCACATGAATACAGAACTAGAAAAGAATTAAGAGATATAGTTACATAGTTATTCCTATATATAATCATAAATAATCACATAGTTATTCATATGTTACCACAGAAATATATATACTCAATATAACCTTTTAATTTTACTAATGATTATTAGCTTACAAAGCATGAAACTGAGGTGACACTGTGAACAAAGTGATCCTAAGGCAAGATCCTCTAAGCCCTCTGTGACACCCACATAAGGGCTGCTGGAGGGCGCCTCGGCTGTGCAGCAGCGCCAGCACTGGGAAAGTGCCCGCTGTTTAGCCAGCTAGGGAAGGAGACGTCCAAAATGTCCGAGACATCTCCTTCCTTGGGGGAGTTAGGAGAAAACTCCGCTTCTCCAAGCTCTTGTGGTAGGCCTGATGGCTGTCAGGAAGGCCCACAGACATCTGCGGGCTTAACTGTCTCTATGTGGTGCTGTGCTTCAGCAGTCATGTTCCATGTCTACTTTCATGTTCCGCTTCTGCACCTGGCCCCTCTTTTTCTTAGAAGATAGAATCAGTAATAGTAACATAAATCTTAACATCTTTATTCTTTCTTGACAAGTATGAGAAAAGTGCTGATACATTAGGTTTACTCCTAGCCTCGGCTACTTCAAAGACCTGGGTCCCTATCTCCAAGACACATGATTTACCTGATCCTATAACGGACCAACATTACCTCACCCTACCTACCCCGCCCCCTGCTTTGTACTCAATAAAAGTCAGAATGTCCAGGCATTCAGAGCCACTGTTGGACTCCCGTGCTTTGGTTGGCAGTGCACATCTGGGCCCAAACTCTGTTTTCTCTTTCTTGGTGTAAGTGTCTTATTTCCACAGTTTCTCATCTCCATACCTGTAGGGAGGGGCTCACAGGACCCTGTATGGCTGGACCCTACACCCGTAATATAACATGGTCATATTACGTTATATGGCAAAGGGGATTTTGTAGATGTATTTAAGGTCTCTAGTGAGTTGACTCGGAGTTAGTCAAAAGGGAGATTATTCTGACTGAGCTTGATCGTAGCAGGTGAGCACATAAAAGAGATAAGAAGCCCAACAAGTTATTCTGAAGACATCAACTGATTCTAAAGTTTGTATGAAGAAGCAACGGACCCAGAATGGACAACACAGTATTGAAGAAGAACAAAGTTGGAGGACTGACGCTGCCATTATCTCAATACTACTATGAAGCTACAATAAACAAGACAGTGTGGCACTGGTGAAAGAATACACAGATACACCAGTGGAACAGAATAGAGGGCCCAGAAACAAATCTACCTAAATACAGTTAACTAATCTTTGACAAAGGAGCAAGGACAACACAATGAAGTAGTATTTTCAACAAATGATACTGGGACAACTGGATACCCATGTGTACAGATTCACTCACGGTGGTGGCAAAAATATTAGAGAA